CTCCCAAAAAATTATACGTGTTTTGGAAATGTTGAGTGGAATTAGTCTAGAATCGGTTAATTTTATAGAAGAAAACCTTTCGAACAGCCTTAGTCCGTAAAGTTCCCACCTATCGGGCTGCGATTGGCTCATGTATTTAATCGTTCCTACAACGTAATTTTCGGTTAGCGTGGAACGTATCTAAGCGTTATAGGGGGGTCTACTGTATTAATAATTACCGTGTTATATCTGGGAGCATAAGAATGAAGATTAAATATGCTTTCATCCAATTATAATAATTGATTGAGCATTAAAATTTATGTAAATTAAAATTGTACTGTACAGTATATACAACAATAATGAAATATCATATACAGTGGTAACTCAGAACTCTAATTCAATTCGTTCCTAGAGGGCATTCAAGTTCTAAAGCAATTCTTTCCATAAGGAATAAGGTAAAGTAAATTAATGCATTTCCAAACCCGAAAAATGCCCATTTTAATTCTAAAAATATCATAGTACACGCTAAATTAACACAAGTAAATACCCGAATTAATGCATAAAACAACGAGCAATTATTTATTGTGACATCGTAATAATGCCGGCCTGCAATTTTTAATCATATGTTTAATTTATTTAATTTAAAATATATGCTCTCCACCTCAAATTAGTCATGATTTGCCCCTGTGCATCATATTTTCCTGTTAGCAACAGAGTCTTGCCGAATGGATAAAACCAGTATTCTGTAAACCAGACACTCGAACAGGGAGGGATGTCCAACACTTAATATTTTGATGTGGCCCACTACACCCTAAATTAGGTACATTTTATTTATTTTGGTAAAATATGTCGTAAAAATTATTCTCGTTTCACTGGATATACTTTGACGTCGTAATGACGTAATTGGTGACATATTTGTAATTTTCCAATCAAAAAAGTAGGTGGCGTGGTCTGTCATTCTGATTGTTTCGGTTTCAAAGAGTTTTGTAACGAAGCAATGTTGTTTGTTAGTGATAAATGTTGTTGTTGTTGTTTGTTAAGTCATNTCCTTTATGATGACTGATTTATTGAAGGTACGTTACTGATCTCAAATTTTTCCTGTTGATAATGTTTATGTAAATAATCAGCTTTATCCTACGGCCGCTTCATTCTATCGCTCTGGGAACCCAGAATTTAATCCTGGCAAGCAAAACCAGGAATTTTTCATGTGTGATATGTCTCGGGTACCTCAATCTTCGTCTTTCATCATTTGGCAGTCACAGTTTTGGGCCTGCCCGAACCAATGAGGGACATGGAAAAATGTCCTTGCGATGCCAGAGAGCGGAAACAATCTAAAATAAACTTGCTACATAAGATTATGCTCAAGCTGAAGCTATTTTTTTATCATTATTTTTATTGTAATAGAAATAAAATTACCTCATATTTTACCACTGCTAAACCTGTACATTATATAGTTAAATAATAAAATATTTTAAGGTATTAATAATTACCGTGTTATATCTGGGAGCATAAGAATGAAGATTAAATATGCTTTCATCCAATTATAATAACTGATTGAGCATTAAAATTTATGTAAATTAAAATTGTACTGTACAGTATATACAACAATAATGAAATATCATATACGGTGGTAACTCAGAACTCTAATTCAATTCGTTCCTAGAGGGCATTCAAGTTCTAAAGCAATTCTTTCCATAAGGAATAAGGTAAAGTAAATTAATGCATTTCCAAACCCGAAAAATGCCCATTTTAATTCTAAAAATATCATAGTACACGCTAAATTAACACAAGTAAATACCCGAATTAATGCATAAAACAACGAGCAATTATTTATTGTGACATCGTAATAATGCCGGCCTGCAATTTTTAATCATATGTTTAATTCATTTAATTTAAAATATATGCTCTCCACCTCAAATTAGTCGTGGTTTGCCCCTGTGCATCATATTTTCCTGTTAGCAACAGAGTCTTGCCGAATAGATAAAACCAGTATTCTGTAAACCAGACACTCGAACAGGTAGGGATGTCCAACACTTAATATTTTGATGTGGCCCACTACACCCTAAATTAGGTACATCTTATTTATTTTGGTAAAATATGTCGTAAAAATTATTCTCGTTTCACTGGATATACTTTGACGTCGTAATGACGTAATTGGTGACATAATTTGTAATTTTTCAATCAAAAAAGTAGGTGGCGTGGTCTGTCATTCTGATTGTTTCGGTTTCAGAGTTTTGTAACGAAGCGATATTGTTTGTTAGTGATAAATGTTGTTGTTGTTTGTTAAGTCATGGAAACGCAACACTTGGGCGATCTGCCTGGGGATGCCTTCCGGGAGGTCTTTTAAGGGAAACTGGCCTCTATTTAGGCGTTACAGATGTAGAGAAAACTCGGAAAACTCCACGTGGTCAGCCCGTCCGAGCGAGGCGCGAACCCACGATTGAACTCCCAGTGTTCAGTGTACGAAGACAGCTTGGCCACTGGTGGGCCTGTTAGTGATAAAGCACGAGTATCTTTCATCGGGCGGATGAAACGACACATTATCCATCTTTTCAAGAGTGTCGGCCATTTTTAGTGACTCGAGGCTAGGCCTAAGGGCTAGTACACATTTGGGTTAAACGCGCGTTAGCAGCGTATACACCGCGCGTTTAGCTTGGCGTTGGGAGACCGTTCGCACTGTCTTAGTTTGGAAATGGACGTGAAAGTAATTGCTTGCTTTCGGCTGCTGTAGATATGGTGAACATTACGATCGGTGATCTTTCTCTTCTGTATAAGTATCACTGCTGATGCTAAGGCTCAAAACTTGTTCGAGATCCTTGATATTTCTATTTCCGAAAATAATTTGGAGTGGACCAAATGCATTGGTATGCTATGCTGATGGTGCTCGTTCTATGTCCGGATGTTATGAAGGATTACAAGNTCGTAATGACGTAATTGGTGACATATTTGTAATTTTCCAATCAAAAAAGTAGGTGGCGTGGTCTGTCATTCTGATTGTTTCGGTTTCAAAGAGTTTTGTAACGAAGCAATGTTGTTTGTTAGTGATAAATGTTGTTGTTGTTGTTTGTTAAGTCATGGAAACGCAACACTTGGGCGATCTGCATGAAGATGCCTTCCGGGAGGTGTTTTAAGGACCTCCCGGAAGGCATCTTCATGCAGATCTTTTAAGGAAAACTGGCCCCCCCTATTTAGGCGTTACAGATGTGGAGAAAACCCGGAAAAACTCCACGTGGTCAGCACGTCCGAGCGAGGCGCGAACCCACGACTGAACTCCCAGTGTTCAGGGTACGAAGACAGCTTGGCCACTGGTGGGCCTGTTAGTGATAAAGCACGAGTATCTTTCATCAGGCGGATGAAACGACACATTATCCATCTTTTCAAGAGTGTCGGCCATTTTTAGTGACTCGAGGCTAGACCTAAGGGCTAGTACACATTTGGGTTAAACGCGCGTTAGCAGCGTACACACCGCGCGTTTAGCTTGGCGTTGGGAGACCGTTCGCACTGGCTTAGTTTGGAAATGGACGTGAAAGTAATTGCTTGTGTGTGGCTCCTCTATCGTCGCTATAAAAGACGATAACAAAGGCAAAGAGAATTTTGGGTGCACCCAATATTACCAGATAGACTGACTCATGGAATGTTTGTGACGTTGTATCTAAAATTAAGACAATATGAACCCAAGTTTTTCAATTATTTTAGAATGTCTAAAAAAGCATTTGACGATGGCTGGTCTCTTTTATATTTCATCAATAAACAGATCAGTATCGAAATGATCGTTCTCCATTTCGGCCAACGAGCGTCCACTCTACCCGAAAGCGCGCGATCGAATGTACAACATCGCAGCGCATGTATCTCAAAGCGCGCGGCTGACGCCTGCGAAACGCGCGTTCTAACCTAAAATTTATCAATGCGCGCTTGGACAGAAGCGCGCGTTTGAATTTGTATACCTATGCGGAACTCTTGGTTCTTTAAAATGCGCGTTACCACAGCGCGCGCTTCAAAACGCCTAATGTGTATACAGCCTAATGCCTAAGTGGAAGGAGCTTTTTATTCTTTATTTCTTTCTAATTTGATGAAATTGTCAATTTATCTAGAGAACTGTTATGCCTGTGGAGTAGTACATACTGTTGTGAACAATTTTTTTCGTACATGAAAAGCATCAAAACTGCTGAAATAAATAGGTCCAGTGATTCCCATTTAACTAACATTCTTAGAATAAAGACTAGTACAGCGGTTCCCAAAGTGTGCGCCGTGGCTTCCTCAAGGGGCGCCGCGAAATATAAAATTTTCATAATTTTACTTTCACTTTCAATTCAATGTGATAAGATGCGACATCTAGCAGACCTGATGCAAATCATTAACTCGGTAATAAAAGTGGCATATAGAATCGCAAAATGTAAAAAGCCTCATACCATCGCAAAAAATCTATCGGCTGCTGTAGATATGGTGAACATTACGATCGGTGACCTTTCTCTTCTGTATAAGTATCACTGCTGATGATGATGGCTCAAGACTTGTTCGAGATCCTTGATATTTCTATTTCCGAAAATAATTTGAGTGGACCAAATGCATTGGTATGCTATGCTGATGGTGCTCGTTCTATGTCCGGATGTTATGAAGGATTACAAGCACTTTTTCGAAGCACCCTGATGCACTGTGAACTCATTGCGTTATTCACAGGGTAGCACTCGCATCAAAATATCTGAGTCCTACATTGAACCAGGCCTTAGAATATGTAGTTAATGCAGTAAACTTTATAAAAACTAGGTCGGTGAAGACAAGATTTTTCAAAAAACTATGTGAGGATATGGGATCCAAGCATAAGTCTTTGTTGTTATACAGCACTTCGAGAATGTTTTGTCTGCGACAGGAAATTTATATTTTTCTTAAAGAGGAAGACCACAAGTATGCCGAAAATTTTGTGAGGAAATATTTGTGATTGAAGATTTTTTGGTAAAATTGGCATATTTATGTGATATTTTTGAAAAGCTCAATGCTCTGAATCTCTCCCTGCAGGGAAGCAAAATGCATTTTTTAAAGTCGATTGAGAAAATTTCAGCTTTTATAAAAGAAATCAAAACTATGGAAAAGAAAATTAAACGAAGACGGAGGAAAGGATGTTTTCCCTTGTTGCAACAGTGTTTGACTTCCAATGGAGTTGATTTCTCTTGAGGTGTGAAATCAATTTTTGAAAACATAACAGCTTATTACTAGGTTTGAGAAATATTTTCAATATGATAATATCAAAAAATTTGAATGGATCCAAGATCCATTTAATGCCAGTGTTCCATCTGAATTTACTGCTGCAGAAGAAGATAATCTTATTGTCTTGCGACAATACGTTAAAAACAAAATTTAGCAGCATGGAATTGACTGAATTTTGGATATTAGAGAAAGATGAAAATCTCTTCTCCGTGGTAAAGCTCAGAAAATCTTAATTTTATTTGCGACAATTATTTGTGCGAAGCTGAGTTTGACGCTGTGATAAAAACTAAGCATTGCAGGAAAATCAATGTGGAGAGAAAATGAGGGTGGCTGTTTCCAGTTTGGTTTCAAGATTTGAGAATATGTGCGGGAATAGGCTCATCCATCCCGCTAACTATAATTAATTGAATTTGTTCAATTAGATGTTTTTGTTACCTTAAATACGTGTTTTATTTATTTTTTACTTAACATCCTAACTCTAATTAAAAGCATATACTTATATAAAGTACCTTTGTGGCTCGCTGAATATACCTAAATTTGTAATTCGACCCATTAGGAAAAAAGGTTTGACAACTCTGGGTTAAGGGGACCAGAATTTTGCTGAATTATGAGAAATTTCTTCATTTAAAAAAAATATTTAAATTGAAAAAAAAAAACATTAAACCTGTCAAGTTTCAAATTTTTGGTCATCCACTCATCTAGTCTCGAGACATAATGCAAAATAGTCACACAAATTTGATAAATGGTTTAATTTTCTAATTTCCTCGTTGGATGGAGCCATAATCGTAATACTGTATATATCTATGAATGACGCTTTTATCTCCTTCAAAGGCACGAATAATTGACTTAAATTGAAACGTGAATAATTAACTACATTCTCAATTATCGGCACCGGTCCTTAAAATCTTGAATTTCAAACATTTGGCATTAATTTTGCGGTATAACGAATGGCTCGCTAAATACTTAGTTAAGAATAGCCTGTCGCTCTGGGGATCCGGCATCGAATCCGGGACAGAGAACTCGAGGAATTTTACGTGGGTTGTTCTTCCCTTCCCTTACCACTTGGCCGATCCCATTGTGGGCCGGGCATGTTGAAAAATGGCACTCTAAGAGCCCATAAACCGGAAAGAAACAAAAACAAATAAAACAAAGTAGATTTAGTTTAAATTCGTATCAATGAAACGTTCTATTATAATCAGACAATTTATTGAAGTATTTTTAAAATTAATTTGCACGTTTGGCATTACAATATGCTCCTTTTATCATGATCTGCCGGTGGGGCCGAGTTGATAAAACCTCTGAACGCTGGTAGTGGTCGTGGTTCGGGCCCCACCAAACGTTGAGTTTTTCGGGTTTTTTCACGTTTCTAACACTTAAATAGGAGCCANAGTACTTACAATAGTTTTCAGGTTTTCGACTTTGATCTGGTAGAGGCTAATCTGTGTAAGCCTCTAGAATCAAATGTGAAGCAAGTCATCGCTGAGGCTGACGTCGTCAACATGGTCAAGTTTGTATCGGCAGTACCCTGTGATGGCAAGCGTAATATGGAATATTTACATGTAAGTCATTGTATCGAAACTGTAGGCCTACTTACATTAAGTAAGCGCTTATCTTTGCTCATTCTTATTGCAGAGAATATTTGCTTTGATGAAGAAAAATGCGTATGTATTCTATGTAGATAATATCAACGGTGAATTTTACAAGATGGTAGCTAAAGTAGCGGAAAAATATTCTTTAAAACTCGTGTGGAACTCTGAACATAGGAAATTGGAAGTGCAAAGACCCATTTTTATTCAAAACAATTTTAAAAGCAAAACAATGAAAGGTACTTCAGTAGTTGCAGCAGTATGGCAGAAGATTGACTCTCCTTTATGATGACTGATTTATTGAAGGTACGTTACTGATCTCAAATTTTTCCTGTTGATAATGTTTATGTAAATAATCAGCTTTATCCTACGGCCGCTTCATTCTATCGCTCTGGGAACCCAGAATTTAATCCTGGCAAGCAAAACCAGGAATTTTTCATGTGTGATATGTCTCGGGTACCTCAATCTTCGTCTTTCATCATTTGGCAGTCACAGTTTTGGGCCTGCCCGAACCAATGAGGGACATGGAAAAATGTCCTTGCGATGCCAGAGAGCGGAAACAATCTAAAATAAACTTGCTACATAAGATTATGCTCAAGCTGAAGCTATTTTTTTATCATTATTTTTATTGTAATAGAAATAAAATTACCTCATATTTTACCACTGCTAAACCTGTACATTATATAGTTAAATAATAAAATATTTTAAGGTATTAATAATTACCGTGTTATATCTGGGAGCATAAGAATGAAGATTAAATATGCTTTCATCCAATTATAATAACTGATTGAGCATTAAAATTTATGTAAATTAAAATTGTACTGTACAGTATATACAACAATAATGAAATATCATATACGGTGGTAACTCAGAACTCTAATTCAATTCGTTCCTAGAGGGCATTCAAGTTCTAAAGCAATTCTTTCCATAAGGAATAAGGTAAAGTAAATTAATGCATTTCTAAACCCGAAAAATGCCCATTTTAATTCTAAAAATATATTATAGTACACGCTAAATTAACACAAGTAAATACCCGAATTAATGCATAAAACAACGAGCAATTATTTATTGTGAGATCGTAATAATGCCGGCCTGCAATTTTTAATCATATGTTTAATTCATTTAATTTAAAATATATGCTCTCCACCTCAAATTAGTCGTGGTTTGCCCCTGTGCATCATATTTTCCTGTTAGCAACAGAGTCTTGCCGAATAGATAAAACCAGTATTCTGTAAACCAGACACTCGAACAGGTAGGGATGTCCAACACTTAATATTTTGATGTGGCCCACTACACCCTAAATTAGGTACATCTTATTTATTTTGGTAAAATATGTCGTAAAAATTATTCTCGTTTCACTGGATATACTTTGACGTCGTAATGACGTAATTGGTGACATAATTTGTAATTTTTCAATCAAAAAAGTAGGTGGCGTGGTCTGTCATTCTGATTGTTTCGGTTTCAGAGTTTTGTAACGAAGCGATATTGTTTGTTAGTGATAAATGTTGTTGTTGTTTGTTAAGTCATGGAAACGCAACACTTGGGCGATCTGCCTGGGGATGCCTTCCGGGAGGTCTTTTAAGGGAAACTGGCCTCTATTTAGGCGTTACAGATGTAGAGAAAACTCGGAAAACTCCACGTGGTCAGCCCGTCCGAGCGAGGCGCGAACCCACGATTGAACTCCCAGTGTTCAGTGTACGAAGACAGCTTGGCCACTGGTGGGCCTGTTAGTGATAAAGCACGAGTATCTTTCATCGGGCGGATGAAACGACACATTATCCATCTTTTCAAGAGTGTCGGCCATTTTTAGTGACTCGAGGCTAGGCCTAAGGGCTAGTACACATTTGGGTTAAACGCGCGTTAGCAGCGTATACACCGCGCGTTTAGCTTGGCGTTGGGAGACCGTTCGCACTGTCTTAGTTTGGAAATGGACGTGAAAGTAATTGCTTGCTTTCGGCTGCTGTAGATATGGTGAACATTACGATCGGTGATCTTTCTCTTCTGTATAAGTATCACTGCTGATGCTAAGGCTCAAAACTTGTTCGAGATCCTTGATATTTCTATTTCCGAAAATAATTTGGAGTGGACCAAATGCATTGGTATGCTATGCTGATGGTGCTCGTTCTATGTCCGGATGTTATGAAGGATTACAAGTACTTTTTCGAAGCACCCTGATGCACTGTGAACTCATTGCGTTATTCACAGGGTAGCACTCGCATCAAAATATCTGAGTCCTACATTGAACCAGGCCTTAGAATATGTAGTTAATGCAGTAAACTTTATAAAAACTAGGCCGTTGAAGACAAGATTTTTCGAAAAACTATGTGAGGATATGGGATCCAAGCATAAGTCTTTGTTGTTATACAGCACTTCGAGAATGTTTTGTCTGCGACAGGAAATTTATGTTTTTCTTAAAGAGGAAGACTACAAGTATGCCGAAAATTTTGTGAGGAAATATTTGTGATTGAAGATTTTTTGGTAAAACTAGCATACTTATGTGATATTTTTGAAAAGCTCAATGCTCTGAATCTCTCCCTGCAGGGAAGCAAAATGCATTTTTTAAAGTCGATCGAGAAAATTTCAGCTTTTTATAAAAGAAATTAAAACTATGGAAAAGAAAATTAAACGAAGACGGAGGAAAGGATGTTTTTCCTTGTTGCAACAGTGTTTGACTTCCAATGGAGTTGATTTCTCTTCAGGTGTGAAATCAATTTTTGAAAACATAACAGCTTATTACTAGGTTTGAGAAATATTTTCAAAATGATAATATCAAAAAATTTGAATGGATCCAAGATCCATTTAATGTAATGCCAGTGTTCCATCTGAATTTACAAATATAAACAAAACACCAAACGCTTGCTGAGCTTATCTGTTCCATCTGAATTTACTGCTGCAGAAGAAGAGAATCTTATTGAGTTGTCTTGCGACAATACGTTGAAAACAAAATTTAGCAGCATGGAATTGACTGAATTTTGGATATTAGTGAAAGATGAATATCTCTTCTCCGTGGTAAAGCTCAGAAAATCTTAATTCTATTTGCGACTTTTTATTTGTGCGAAGCTGAGTTTGACACTGATAAAAACTAAGCATTGCACGAAAATCAATGTGAAGAAAATGAGGGTGGCTGTTTCCAGTTTGATTCCAAGATTTGAGAATATTTGCGGGAATAGACTCATCCATCCCGCTAACTATAATTAATTGAATTTGTTCAATTAGATGTTTTTGTTACCTTAAATACGTGTTTTATTTATTTTTTACTTAACATCCTAACTCTAATTAAAAGCATATACTTATATAAAGTANAAAATTTAGCAGCATGGAATTGACTGAATTTTGGATATTAGTGAAAGATGAATATCTCTTCTCCGTGGTAAAGCTCAGAAAATCTTAATTCTATTTGCGACTTTTTATTTGTGCGAAGCTGAGTTTGACACTGATAAAAACTAAGCATTGCACGAAAATCAATGTGAAGAAAATGAGGGTGGCTGTTTCCAGTTTGATTCCAAGATTTGAGAATATTTGCGGGAATAGACTCATCCATCCCGCTAACTATAATTAATTGAATTTGTTCAATTAGATGTTTTTGTTACCTTAAATACGTGTTTTATTTATTTTTTACTTAACATCCTAACTCTAATTAAAAGCATATACTTATATAAAGTACCTTTGTGGCTCGCTGAATATACCTAAATTTGTAATTCGACCCATTAGGAAAAAAGGTTTGACAACTCTGGGTTAAGGGGACCAGAATTTTGCTGAATTATGAGAAATTTCTTCATTTAAAAAAAATATTTAAATTGAAAAAAAAACATTAACCTTGTCAAGTTTCAAATTTTTGGTCATCCAGTCATCTAGCCTCGAGACATAATGCAAAATAGTCACACAAATTTGATAAATGGTTTAATTTTCTAATTTCCTCGTTGGATGGAGCCATAATCGTAATACTGTATATATCTATGAATGACGCTTTTATCTCCTTCAAAGGCACGAATAATTGATTTAAATTGAAACGTGAATAATTAACTACATTCTCAATTATCGGCACCGGTCCTTAAAATCTTGAATTTCAAACATTTGGCATTAATTTTGCGGTATAACGAATGGCTCGCTAAATACTTAGTTAAGAATAGCCTGTCGCTCTGGGGATCCGGCATCGAATCCGGGACAGAGAACCCGAGGAATTTTACTTGGGTTGTTCTTCCCTTCCCTTACCACTTGGCCGATCCCATTGTGGGCCTGGCATGTTGAAAAATGGCACTCTAAGAGCCCATAAACCGGAAAGAAACAAAAACAAATAAAACAAAGTAGATTTAGTTTAAATTCGTATCAATGAAACGTTCTATTATAATCAGACAATTTATTGAAGTATTTTTAAAATTAATTTGCACGTTTGGCATTACAATTTGCTCCTTTTTTCATGATCTGCCGGTGGGGCCGAGTTGATAAAACCTCTGAACGCTGGTAGTGGTCGTGGTTCGGGTCCCACCAAACGTTGAGTTTTTCGGGTTTTTTCACGTTTCTAACACTTAAATAGGAGCCAGTTTCCTTCCGGAATTGGCCTTCCGGGAGGACTTTCTATGCTTGTAGATCTAGGTCTATTTTTCAGACAAAAATGTCCCAGTTGCTTAAATTAATTATTTTTGGGCTTATATTAATTAATGGCATAAATGTCTCTACTGTGATCGCTATATGTGTGCGCTCTTATATCCATACTAATTACATTTATGCCCGATTTATGATCGCTATTCAAGATATACTATTATCTGGTATCATATGACCTATGACGTCATCGACGACAATTACTTTATAAACCTTTATAATTTAATGTTATGCTTCTGTTTTCGTACCAAATGCATTCCTGTTTTAATTACTTATTTATTTCTTGTTTTCAGAAGTTACGCGTTATAATTACAGAAACGAAAACATGGTTATAAATAATTTTATCGAGAAGTTAAATCGTAGTAAATGGAATTAATTAATCTTATGTGTAAGTTAATATTAATGGGAGGTTACAAAAGCACATCACTGTACACGTAACTAAAGGGGGGTTTGCAAGAAGTACAGTACAGTACATCATTGTACACAGCAAAGATGGCAATGTAGATGATTAACAAACGGAATTTTAATTCAGATGTAACGGAAACGGAACGTAGTTTACAGTTTTTATTCCTCTTTGCAACCTGCGTTATCAGCAGATGAGTCATATTAAACAACTTAAATGTTTTCCCTTGTTTTTAACGGTTTTGCTATATTTTAATACTTTAAAAAATATACAGTTTGGTAGCGTAATATATTTTATACACGTCACGAGCTTTTCCTAAGTTTCTGTATGCGTAACTTCACTAAAATGGACTCTTCAATAATCATAAGTGACCTTGAGCTTAGAGGGATGTATTGAACTTTATAACACGATTGTTTCGGTTTCAGTTTGTTTGTAGACGTATTGATAAGAGAATAAACTTGTTACTCATATAGCACTTGAAGTCAGTTTCGACAACATTCGATAACACATAACATGGAGGAACAGTCTCTAGTGAATTTATACGAATCCGTGATGAGCAAAGAGTATGAAGACTTGAACTGGGTGGATATTGTCTTGTCTATGAACGAAATACGTAAGGCTTACAGGAAAATAGACAGCAGCGCTCCTATATCGACTATCGACTACAATTCTAACAGCTACCGCTTCGCGTATATATACTTGTACGCCGTGTGTCATACCGCTACCATGCGAGAAATGATGAAGATGCTGGAATCTAACCAAATGTCAACGTTCTTGCAGATGATGGCATTTGGCAAGGATCTAAATGTGTGCTGCTTGGGTGGAGGGCCAGGCTGCGAAATGATCGGATTTCTATGCGGTTTAAATAGGAGTTTATGCTCTACGCTGTTTTCTGATCAGCGAAACATCAGTTTCACCGTATTAGATACCTGTTCCGGATGGAGCATTTCCCTGAAACACGTACTGGAAGCCTTTCTGAAAAGTGACCTGGGCCGGAATTACACTTCCAATTTCACTTGCAACTTCGAGCAGGCAAATCTATGCTCCTTCTTGCATGCGGAAGCGTTATATCCCATAATGAATGCCAATATTATTACTATGGTTAAGTTCGTTTCTGTAGTGTCACACTGCTATAAAAATAACAGTTATTACTTGCAGGTAAGTAGCCGTTTCACACTAAACTTATTAAGTGCCATGATATACAGTATATTTAGGGATATTGATCTGTTTCAGGTGATACTGAAGCTAATGAAACCGGGTTCGTTTCTATTATTTTTGGATAACAGAACGGGTGGGTTCTTCGAGATAGTTTCCGAAATAGCAAGTGAAAATAATCTAGTGTTGCTGTATCGATGTAATGCCGTATACCAGCATAACGGAGATATTCAATTCCAAAAATATATATTTCAACCCGATCCTTTAAGGATATCAAAAGTCACATTTGCAGTCTGGAAAAAGAAGGAAATGAATACATGCGTTTGCCTATAAGTCACTTTTTTTTTTTAATTTGAAAATTTTAATTTTAAAAATTAAAAAGCTTGCCTGTAATTGGATAGCTTTAAATATATATATTTTATATATATATNATATTATCAAACAATTATTTTATTAATACATTACACTAAATTTTTCACATTAAAACATTAATATATATACGATTTGTAATATATAAAATATATATATATATATATTGTCCAATCAAATGCGACTATTTATTTTTTCGTTTTTTAAACTGTTTGATTATTGGCGTAATTTAAAAATTATTTTCAGTTTATTGGTTGAATTTGAAATTTAACTCGTTAAGATAACGATTATTGATACTTTTGTAATATTTTAACTTTTATTTGTTTATTATAATTGTAAATAAAGAAAAAAATTAATGTTATTCAAATTTAAACTTCGTTATATCCGTGAAATTTTTGTTAATCATTCAATAAATAGATATTTTTATTTCTTATCTTAGCATTCTTTCAGAACATCAGCGTGACAGTCAGACAAACAGATAACCAAAGATTTAAACGTTCTTATCTATATGAAATGCCAAATATTATCTATTAATAGGAGTTATTGCATGAAACTTGAACAATATTAACAAAATAAGAGTTACAACATTGTTAACTAGAGATATTTAAACAAAACTGGAATTAAAATTGTTTGTTGTTTTGGTTTCAGTATCGATAATGTTCTTAAAAACACTTCTTTCCTCTTAGTTTCATTTTTCTGAGATAATAAATTGCTTCAAATGCATTTTTGCTCCGAACAACCAGTGTAACAACTCTCCCAACTGAATTAATTAATTAATATAATTAGTTCATATTTATGTACAATATGTATACATGTATATATTTATAAATCAAGATCATAAACTCTTAGACGGGATACGAGAGGTAAGAGCCCATTAGAGATAAAACCACTGAATGTAGATGGTCGCGGGTTTGCGCCTCACTAACGAGCTGGGCGAGTGGAGTTTTTCATGTTTTCCATAGAAAGTCCTCCCAAAAGGCACTTGGCAAGTTTCCCATAGAAAGTTCTTCCAAGTACACTCCTTGGCAAGTTGCCCATAGAAAATCCTCCCTCGAGGCACTCGCCTGGAAGATCGCCCATGTTGTATTACCTTATTTCATTAACTCTGAGTGAGGTTTGATGAGACCCAGGCCATACAAAAATGTAGAGCTCATACTTCATCGAAAGTCAAAAAATATAATTGTTTACTTCTTATATGACTTTCCTATCGTAATTTTACATAAAAGTTTTGGGGCCCTACCTTAAATGGTCCTGTCATTTCCTTCAATCTGCACCTAGTCCTGTATATTTTATATCGTTAATTAATGCCCTGGAAAAAATATATATACGTGAAGGAATTTGTGAAGGCTGAATTCCATTCACGAAATTACTGTGTTTAAGCGTTTCGTTCATATAAACAACACCCAAAAACAATTTTCAATAAATCGCGTGTTAACAAACGTGTTTCGTTCTGTTATTACTTTCTTGGAGGGCATTAATAACACATATCACGATTTACATTCTCGTGTTATCATTCGTTACAAGATATTAATAAAAATGCAAATAAAAATAAAATTTTATCTATCTTAATACCTTCATATAAGGCTAAATTATACAGTAAACCTGTTTAAAACGGGCCGTCTACAAAACGGAAACCTGCTAAAACGGATAATTCTAGCCGGTACCGTTACATTGACTGTAATAGGTTTATTTCTGTATTTCTTCTTTGAATTTTAATACATATTTATACGAATTATCAATGTTTATCGCATATGCGGATAATTTACTTAGAAAGGTTACTGAATCTAAAAAATTATTCAATTTGATGGAAATTTAAGTACTCGTAATGAGGAAGTATATGAAAAGTTCAATGCATAAAAATAATAAAGGAAGAGGAATGAAGAATTAATAGATGTTTGTTCTAATGTATTTTGTTACAGATTTGTTTATTTTAATTTCAATTCATTAAAAAAATATCAAAGTATATGAACATCCGCAACAATCGAAAATGAGACGAAATTTGCAATAAATCACAAAAAGTGAAAGGTGATTGGTTATTCAAAATTTAAAAATTCAAATTCAAAAATAACGGTCATTTAATACTAAATACGTTATAATATGCTTTCACGTGGTGAAACAGTGCCCATAAACATAATTAATCAATATGAGTGCTTCGTCTCTAGTTACGTGAGTAGCTGTTGAGAATATCATAGTATAAACTCGTTCGGTGAGAGCATTCACTAAACGAGTTGATACCACATGATATTCTCAACACGCTCGTGTTGCTACTGATGTAACTCGAGACAAGAACATTACAAAGAGACTAGCACATAAGGATGAGAATTCGAATTGATTACGTACAAAAAGAAACAATCGTAACGCAATTTAAACGTAAATGCTCTTTCATAAAAGTGGTCTACAGATTACACAGTAGCGTAACCAGATGGCCAAGGGGCCTGAAGTACAGAAAGCGGCTCATAAGTACAGAACATACTCATGGACAGTAAATTCTTACATATTGAGTGATCACAACCATTGTTATACAGGGATGAATGTAGGTTTGCGAGTTCTGATTCGGACCCCCTAATACCAGTTCTAGTTACGCTGCTGGCCTACAGACTAAACATTTAATAAATCAGATAAAAAGTTTAAGTATTTCATTTAATTATGCAAAAAATTATTAATTCATTTCTACAAATTAAATTTATAATCATTTTGGCATAAAATTTAATATTATGCTAATTTATGCTAACGAGAAGGAAGTCTCCGTTTAACATAACTTTATATAATTAAAGTCTATATATAAATCTTAATAGTGGGCGAACTACTCACGATTTGGCAAGTGGAATATTTCATTTGCATTAAAAAAATATAGTAATAATTTATATTGATATTCATATTTCATTGTTAATCACGAAAGTAGCTTTCAAGTAATTTTTAACATGAATATTTAGGCGAAAAAAAGACTATTTTTTCTAAATTTCAGAAATTAAAACAATTAACAATTAATAAAATAAAAATTTGATTTTATTAATTGATAATCTGAAACATAAACGAAAAATAGCCTATATGAAATCAAAATAAAATTTTTTGGTGTATCATTTAGTAAATAAGTAATGGCATAAAATAATTTAAAAATCAAAAATTGAAGCGCATTGGAGAATTCAAAATACGTCAGAAGAATATTGGAGCTAATTTGAAGATCAAAATACGTCACAAAAAGCTGAACGCTCATTAGAGAATTTAAAATGCGTCACAAAAACTTGAAGTTCATTGGAGAGTTGAAAATGGCGCTGCAAGCAAACATTTCATTTGTACTCATGCTGTATAGAGCAGGAGATACTGCTCAATATAATCTTTATTCCAAGGATATACAACCTGAAAGAGGCGAACAGTGTGTTCAACGGTCGTGATTGCTGTGATGCTTCTGGAGTAGTGTGATACTCCTTCGAGGCTTCGTAACTTGTAACGTGTTCTTTCTTTCTATCGTCTCTTCCCAGGTTTATATGGAGATTATAGCTTTAGTTTGCTTTCTCTCTGACGAGCTTGCAACGTGTACATGTCGAAATTTTAAAACACGTCACGAACGTATTTTCAATTTTCCCATATTCTTCCAACTTTTGTGACATATTTTGAAATTATTTATAATTTAAATTTTTAAAAATTTTGTTATTAATAATTCAAAACACGTCACAGGAGTCAATTCAATAGTAGAATAATAAAAGTTAAACGAACGTAAAGGGTCAAAAAACCAATTAATCGCCTTCACGTGACAATAAGAGGAAGTAAACATCCCACTTTAATTACACCCCCCTTTATTTATTAGATAAAATCTTATCAAGTTTTTGTCGTTTAAGATCGAACACACTTTCTCGTGACGTCGTTCACTAGCCAGTGTTTAATCTAAACAAAGGTAACGTCGTAGAGAATCGAGGTTAATGTATACGAGATCAGTGTACTGGAAATTGAAATTCGATTATGGTTTTTGTATTGTCGTGTTATTTTATACAACTCAATAACGTCACAATACAACAACTACGTACAAAGTGGTAACACTAAAACATAAATTTCGTGTATTGCCATATAGTGACAGTTGAATACACAGATAATATTTTAATATTGTGACTAATATGGCATTTTCTAACGTCACATCACCATGGTTTTCCGTATTGAAGACCTATTTTAGAGAATAATTTCGATACATATACAAGATTATTCCTAATCTATTTATTTTTTCATAAACAATATGCTGTAGTCATAACCATAAAAATAACAATAGAATAATTACTTGTTTTAAGAAACCCTGACATCATATTTCTAATACAATATATTACGATTACATTGTATTTTAATGTCGCTACGTATTACTCATCTGTTAAATAAGCGGAAAGACAATTTTGTGCCTCGTTACCTCACAATTGTCAAGCATCTATAGTACAGGAGATTGTACAACAGATCAATTTCTTTGACATCCAAACAACAATAGGCATATAAATAACGACAAGCATTTAGTAAATGTTCAACAATTACGAAAACCGTGCCATGTATCCAAATGTCGTCAGGAAGAATGGCATGGAAAATCTGGTAAAAATCGTACAGAAAAATAACGTCATATCCGGTACGAGTTCAGATGGATTCGGGTTAGAATGTGACTCAGAAACTCACATTTCTTGCTGATATTTTTTGTAGATGTCATTCAATTTACATATGAAATACCCACAGTAAATCTACTAGTCTTATTCCATACTCACTTCATAGTGTTGCTGATAGTATGACGTGATAGAAATTCGTCCAGTGGGGCAATTTACTGAACGATACGCTCCCAAAACATTCAACCCATCATAGTCTGGCACGCAAGCAACGAAAGTTTAGTATATAATCCTATAATTGCCGACGCTTCTAAAAAATCCAATTCGTGACTACGAGATTAATGTCACTATGTGATTATTTATTTATTTATTTATTTCTGTATCTTTATGAATATAATTGTAAGTGCTACAAACTGGCGAGAATAAAATCATAATTCACAAATAGTGGTGATTTGATGAAAATTCGCAAAGCAACAAT